CGGAGGTTAAGCCCGTGGGCTCATTTGCGAGTTCAAGCCTGTCCGGGGGCCGGGCTGGCCCATGAACAGGTCTAATCATACATAACGATAAGTAGTTATCTAAATATTCTAGCTAGAATTTTTTTTTTTTTTTGCAAAGATAAAACTGGACTTCATTAAAGGGAAAGTTAAGAGAACATTTGGATTCCTTTACATGGTTCTACAAAAAGATGAGTTCAGTTTACTGAGCTAGCATAACTATTTAAAAAAGGGTTCATATGTCGAGCTATCCTTGCTAGTTTATGGGCTAGCAAAACAACATTCCCTTTTACATACAAGATTTTAATATTTTCAAAAAAAGAAGTTCAAAAATATGATCCTGTAGTGCTTGTTGGTCCCACAGTATCTGCTTGTCTTTCCTTTTGAGCTTCGTTAGCACTGCTTTAGCATCTGAAAACAAAAAACATGTCTTTACACCCATACAAAAAACTTTCTTAGTCTTCTAATCACTGTCCAAAGCTTAGTTGTTGTTGGGGATCTTGCCAAGCATGGTTCTCCTTCTACAAGGATAAGATGAGACCTGTGAGTGAACATATATATACCAGTAGATGTAGTTTGTGTGAATGGATTCCATGAGGCATTAACAAGAATGATCGGAAAGTTTGAGGAATAAGCTTGTTGTAAGTCCCATTTTGATTGAGGATCTGATGGATTGAGGAGTTTATGCCCGGGTTCTTTATAATTGTAGTAATTTTCAACCTTTCTCAATATTTGAAGAGGGTCTGGGTTCACTTTGTTAAATATTTGAGCATTTTTTGCATCCCATAGGCTTCTGAAGATGGCACATATTTTTGCAATGTAGTTATACTTTATCACTTTATTTTCCAAATGGGAGTTATGTTGTCACCACCATTGAATTAGGTCTTCTTGGTCAGAATTCAAAAAGATTTTTGGAACCAAACCAACCTAAGTCTGAATCCAGACTGCCCTAGAGAGAGAGCACTGCAGGAAAAGGTGCTCTTAGGTTTCTAGAGATTCTTTACAGAATGTGCACCCAGTTTTTTTCTTTTCTCCTACAACTCTATATTTCTGTCTTAGTTCGAACATCTCTATAGAGAACCTTCCACATGAAGGTTTGGCATCTGTGGGAGTATGAGCTTTTCCAGATTTTGGGTCAGCTTAGAGGGCTTATTTGTGTTTGGAGTAGAGTTTCTAGGAGTGAGTGATAAGTTGAGTTTACCGTGAATTCTCTATTGCTTGTATTCTTTCAAAGAAGTCTATTGGGATGTTGCATGTTCATCAAAGGAATACTTAGTATTGCTTTGGCACTTCTTTCTTCAAATAGGCTGTTGAGGCGGTCAGCATTCCAGATGTGATGATCCATGATTAGCTCACACACTTTCATGTTCAGGACTCTTAGTTCTTTTAGCCAGGATGTTGCTCTCAAGTTGAGACACCCATGGGTCCACAAATGCTGAGATAGATCTATCATCTCCAAACTTCTAAAAAAAATGATTTTTTAGTTCATTTTTAATTAGATAATACATTTCCACCAAATCATTACATTGTAAATATTGAGTTTTATTCAATGAATATTTCGAGTACTTTTTCCTAACCGAAACAACCATTACATTACTAATCCAATCTCATAATTAACTCAGGTTAATTAGCTGATAATGTAATGGCTATTATTTAGTGGGCTATATATGGAACCAATGAAATTAATGCCCCACGCTAGTATGGGGCCCATAATTCATAGATTGAATTGAATGATTCAAGTCCCGCCATGTATTTTTATGGCTGGTGCGGGGCGTTCTCATAGGCTCCATAGCATGTTAAACTACAATTAATTACATTCAATTAATACAATCTCATAATTAATTAACTCGAATTAGTTGAACACTATGGTAATTAATTTAGCAAGACTGTGGAATCAATGATAATACTCCCATGGGTAGGCTAGCGTGGGGTGCTGTCATAGGTTGTTAACAACCATGCATTGTGTTCAGCTAACCTGATCTCATAAGTAATTAAATTGGATTAGTTGAATCGATGATAATGCCCCATGCCAATTATAATAAAATTCATGCATGGGACCACAAGTGAAAGAGTGGCATGTATTTTTATGCATGATTGGTTGGCGTGGGGTGTTTGGATCTCATAGCTAAGTTCCATGACATGCTAAACAACCATATATTGCATTCATCTAATCACATCGATTAGCTGAAACGTAAACGTGATGGCTATTTATGCCATGCCAATCATAAAATGAATAGAGCCCACGGTGAAAGATGGAATGATGGATGTAGGTTCCATTCCATGTATTTTTATGGTTGGCATTGGGGCGTTTTCAATGATATTGGTTTTCACATCCCGTTATACAACCAACCATTGTGTTGAGCTAATTCCATAGTCATTTCCGTACTGGGCTGACCAACCCTACTTGACATCTCCAACTTTCTTCCTTCAAAATCCTTCCTATGATTTACCTTACCTAGGGCAAAAGCAATAGAAGATATACCCTTTGTTTTTGTTTTTATTTTTATTTTCAATGGTGCTTCACTTTTGCAGCTTCAAGTTTCGCTCCCCGGTGACCGTTGAGCTCCATAGTCCATTCTGTACTTCTAATGCAATATTAATGTTTTTGTTCCCAAACGTCTTCGTTAGTCTCTTTTCATTTCATTTATTGGTGCTTTAATGAGGCACACACACAAACACATGAGAAATGTATGAGCTCCATTTGGTTTTAATATATAGATAATTATAAATAATAGTATTATTTATTATTATATTATAATTTTTTTACTATTTATTTAAACAATATTTATTATTAATTAAATAATAACTATTACTATTTTTTTTAAAGATATAATAATATTTTATATAATAGATAACCTTTTTATTCTTTTTAATATTATCAATTCATTTTCAAGGGTAAAATATTAAATTTCACAGTTGCCCCAACTTAAAGATTATATCATTTTAAAATCTCTAAAACGTAGAAAATGTTTCTATTTTTTTTTCAAATTTCAGATTCAAATATCACAAATCAGACTTCAGATTTGTCAAACGACATCTAGATTGCACATTATAAACATTACTAGCGGGGACCCGTGTGATGCACATAGGGGTGAGCATTATTTGGTTAAAACCGAATAATTGAACCAAAATTTTCGGTTTCGATTTTTTTGGTTTAGCTTTTTCGATTTTTTGTTAAATCGGTTTGGTTTTTTCGGTTTTTGAAATTAGAATTTCAGTTAACCAAAATTTTTATTATTATATGTAATATATAATATAATATATAATATACTGAAATTTGATTTCATAATATATAGTATATAATAGATTATATATTATTAAAAATTGGTTTTAACCAAAAACTGAACCGAAAATTTCAGTTTCGGTTATTTCGGTTTCAGTTTTGGTTTTTTATGTTTTTAATTTCATTTTTAAAATTTCGACTTATTCTGTTCGGTTTTTAACTGAATAAACCGAATGCTCACCCTTAGATGCATGGGATTTATTAAGCGAAAGCTAAATAATAAAAATGGTCATTTACTAAAATATCCCTTATAGTTTCATGGGTTTACTAAAATCTACCCTATAGTTAGCATTTTACTAAAACACCACTTATAATTTGCAATGGATTTAATTAATCTTCCATTAAATGACACTAGAAAATGACAGTGCTAACCCCAATGCTCATTTAAATAAATTTAATCAAAAGAAAATAAAAATAAAATTATCATTTTTTCCATTGACATGGACAATTGTTCTATTGTCTATATTTGGTCAATTTTGTTTTCTATACAAAAAAGTGTTAAGGGTATTTTTGAAATAAAAATCATGGGACTAATGGCAAAACAAACACTCCTTAATGAAAGGTTGATTAAGTAAATAAGTTGTAAAATATATGGGATGTTTTAGTAAAATGAAAACTATAAGATGGGCTTAAGTAAATATGTAAAACTATAAGGTATATTCTAGTAAATGACCCTAAGAGAAACACATAAGAGTATACAATTGTTTTGTATTTTCAACTTTTTAAATAATTAATAATTATTCATATTTTATATACTATTTTTAATAAATTTTTCATAATACAAAAATAACTATAATTAATTTCAGTTAGGTTTATTCATCAAACTGATGAAACTGACCGACCCGATCAATTTGACCTGAGTTGGTCGGTTTTATAGTATTTTAGGTTGGTTTTGGTTAAAAAATTTTCCAATTCAACCAAGTAGGATCAGTTTCACTTTGGCCATTTGTAAACCAACCAAAATTGAATGACCTATATATATTTAAATATAATTTTTAATATGGAAAAGTGAGAAATTTCTCATATTTCTTAGTATAAAATGTTTTACATCTTTATAAATCTAATTTTTAAATTTGTTTTTTAATAATTATGCTGTCATTTTTAAAATTAAATTAAATTTTTAAGTTTAAATATTTTGAACCGACTGACCAAACAAAAAAGTTGACCCAAACCGATACAACTTAAGTGGGTCAGTTTCACAAAAGGTCAGCCGATTTCAGCTGACCAACTCCCCAACTTGGCCGAGTCAATTTGGTTGCCCAAATAGCCTATGACTGAACCAAACCAACTCATGAACATTCATAATTTCAGCTAAATTAATAGTCTCATCTCTAATAAATAACAATAGTTTAATCTCCAATAATTATTGAAAATATATAGTGAAAATGCATAATTATTAAAAATATATTTATAATGAAAAAATATAATAATTATATCTTTTTATATTTTAATAAATATTTTAAATTTATTGTATAATTGTTTTAAAATATTTAAATAATTCTTGAATTTTCTAATCTAAACTTTTTTAGATAAATATAAACAAAAAAAATAAATAAAAATTAAAGATAATTTAGAAGAAAAACTCTCTACTAAATTTCTTTCACTTTCTTGTTTTAATATACATATACATATACAGATGGCGTGCGATGATGACGTGTTTTGAATTGTATGAGAGGTGCAGCTTTTAAGTGCATGCTAAGAAGTGCAGAAGATCCATTCCGGTCTCGTTTTCGTCAACCACTTCGCGCGAAGAAACGTACTGGAACGTGGGAGGAAACCGCCATCGTTTCCCTCTTCCTTTCTCTCCTTTGAATGTGCCTATCTCCCTTTTACTCTTCTAATCTCTCTCTGATCTCTTTTCCTGAATTCGGACAGAAGAGAAGAGCAGAAGGAGGAATTTCGAGAAAATGTGTGGGATTTTTGCGTACTTGAACTACAACGTGGCCCGGGAGAGAAGGTACATTCTCGAAGTTCTGTTCAATGGCTTGAGGCGATTGGAGTACAGAGGCTACGATTCTGCTGGGATTTCTGTCGATTCTTCTTATTTTTATGTGGGTTGTGAGGATCATTGCGGGAATTCATGCAAACCTCTTCCACCGCTTGTGTTTCGCCAGGAAGGAAACATCGACTCGCTCGTTAGATCGGTTTACGAAGGTAATTGCTTCGGACTTCTTTTGTGAAGAAAAGCGAAATTTTGGATTTTGCTTGATTCCCTAGATTGATATTTGTGCTGTTTCTTGAATATGCCGTTTTTTTAATCTCTGTTTACATTAGAAGACATGATTTGGATTTAAAGGCGATTTCTAGCACTTTCGGGTTTCCGTTGACGTTTTATGGCAGATTCTGAGAGAAAAAGGCGATTGGTTTTAACTCTTAAGATTTTTCCCTTTTCAAATTCTTCATCAAGGATTGTTTGGTTGGAGAGAACAAGTTATCTCAGAACCATCTTTACTGGAGAACATTGAGAGGGGAATTTTCGTTTTTTGGTTTCATTACCTTGGTTGAATAATCGGGGGAGAGGTTGAAGAGAATGTTGCCCTATCAGGAAATAATATGCCAAAAAAAAAAAAAGTGGGGCAAAAATACGAATGTTGAGATGGGTGAGTGGAAAACCGGTTAAGAAATGAACTCATATAGTGAGCAAAGATCTATATTCTCATTCTTTAACATAAAATAAGGCCTTAGAGCAGAACAGAAAAGTGCATTTTTGTATTATCAACCCCACTTAGGTGTAACATGTCTGTGATAATAAGTTTTTTGTTTGCATTTTTTTATAAATAAAAGATAGTATATGATAACAACTTTGCAATAAAATCCTTTTTGATAGCTAATAAAATTGTTTCTCTAATTTTACCTTGGGATCTCAAGTTAGTTCTTGGTTTCTACCTAGTATTTATTTATTTTGTTGTTTCTGTTCTTTTATTTCAAAATTCTTTTTGCTGGCCTGGGGATAATTGTTGTGTTTTTTTTTTGGTGTTTTTAGAGGTTGCTACAACGGATTTGAATTTGGAGGAATCATTTCCTATTCATGCTGGAATTGCACACACCAGATGGGCAACACACGGAGAACCAGCTCCTAGGAATAGCCATCCACAGTCTTCTGGCTCTGAAAATGACTTCTTGGTTGTTCATAACGGTGTTATTACTAATTATGAGGTTTTGTGCTTTTTCTCTCTTCTCTTATATAGAAGAACTTGTCTTTCATTAGTGATATGCCTCAAAGCTTCATTTTACTTGATATTAGGATTTTACATGTAAGATATAATGAAAATATTCAGGAGACCAGTTATGCCTCACCAGAGGTTTCAACTTTTTTTTTATCAATAACCGTTGCTTTTATTAATTAAAGAAAGTAAGAAAAAGTAAAAGTTATAAAGTAGTCATTGAGAGATAAACCCTCTTCTCTCTCCACAAGATCTTACTTTTTCTTACAACTTAGCCCAAAACAATTGATTCTCTCCACCCCTTGTTTGGCTAAAGAATCTACCAAACTATTGGCACTTCTTTTGACACGATGTAGTCTCATGTGCTACTCATTTTTGGAAAATATTTGCTTTTTCATTGCTATTCTACATGCAACGGAAACACCATGAAATAACAATTTTCAGGGAGGTGTTCATTTCCTTTCGTTTTATGTGAGACCTAAAGAAGCCTGATTCTAAAATCTGCACTATTTCTTAAACATCAATACCATGTTAAACAATTTATTTTTTAATTTTTTCCTACCTCTTTCTTTTTAGTTTTAGTTTTTTGAATTTTATTGTTAAAGCTTAAATTTAGCAGAAAACAGTAACCAAAAGAACAGAAACAGCAAGGAGTAGTTGACCTCAAAAAATCCATCCCCTCAAAGGAACTCTTAAAATTCCCATGAACACCATCACAACTTTTATGCAAAAGAGGTCCCAAATATGAAGAAAGCCCAACTAAAAGTAGTACCCCTCCTTACCAAAGTCCAGCCACTAAAGACACTCACCAGAACAATGCATGCAACCACATAAGCATGAATAGACAGTCACAGAAGAGCAATCGCCATGCACCTCCTTTAAGTGGGTTTCTTAGATCCCTCTCTCCCTCTTCTCCCTTTGGTACTCTTAGATGACCTTCTCATTTAGTTGACCTAATCAGCCTTATGTGGTGTTTGGGGGGCTTAAAAAGCTTATAAGTTATCAATGAATGCTTCTTCTTGTGGATGCTTTTTGGTTGTAAATGGACAAAGATAAGGAGAGAGAAAAAAAGGGATTTGGGTTTTTGAAGTCTCTGAGAACTTTATTAAATTTGAATATTAACAAACCATTGGTGGGAAAATTTAGAGATTTTAAAAATTTTTTGAGGGGTCAGTAGTAATTTATATTTTATAGTATGCCTTTGAGGCCATTATTGGAATTTATGAAGGAGCCTTAAGGCCTTGGAAAATGTTCATGTTTTTACTGTGACACCAACAATTCAGAAGCTAAAATCAGGAAAAATTGCTTCCCCTTAATATGATAAAATAGATATTATGAGGAGAAATCTATCTGGCATGGTGGCCTGGGTTTTAACTTCTTGAATATGAGAATTCAGAAGCCCAATATTAAATTCAGACGATGAGGTGGGTGATTCTGATTCTGGGAGGGCTGAGGAGAATGGGATTGTGAAGGTTGATGGAGATGTTGGGGAGGGGAAGGTTTGATTGATGCTCAATTTTTTGAAAAGAATGCAATATTTGAATTAGAAAGAATCAATGAAAGAACGGAGGCCTACACGAAGATGGAGAAAATTCCTAATGCAGTAAGAAGATTTCGAAGAGGGAAAACTAATCAAAGGATGCAAGTCTCAAAAGCTTTTGCCAGGTTAAAGTTGGGAGTTTTTGGGACGGGACTAAAGAAGAAGGGGAAGAAGACAAAGAAAGTTTTTCAGATGAGAAGTGAGAGCTACGTTTTAGACAATGGATATGCAGAGAAAATGGATAAATCTTGAGTTGTGTTTTTCGTTGGAAATAGCTGGTGAGGATCGAGAGGTTTTCTTCTGTTTTTTTTTGGCAGGGGTTGGAAGGGTGTTGGACCTGCAGTTCCTGCTTATCTATTTTAGTTATTGGTGGAGGGGTGTGCGTGATATTTCTTTGGGGTTTTTTGTAGCTGTATCTTGTTTGGATTTCTCAGGGTGTACTGGACTTTATAGAGCTGATTTTCTATTTTATGGTTTTTTTTTTCTTTTTTTTTTGTTTCTGACTGGGTTTTGTTTTGGTGGGTGATTTCTTATCACCCTTTTGTATAATCTCTTTCCTTTTTTAATTAATAAAGTTTATTTTATTTTATTTATCTTAAGAAAAAAAAACTCAGAAGCCTAAAAGGGCCAGTCAATTTAGTCTTCTTGTTTTTCCACTACTTCCAATCTCTCCCTATTAAGTTTTGTCTCCACCAGATCTCTACCATAAAGCTCATTCAATTTGACTGTCAAGTTAGGCAATCTTAATATTAAATATGCATACATAGGTGACTTGATTGATTTACTTTCCTCATGTGTTATCATGCAACTCCATCCAACCTGACATTAAGGTTTTCAGTAGGAAAGAGCTAATTTGAACATATTAAAATTAGAAATTGTATGGAGCGAAGATAATTTTGTTGTTGTTCGAAAATTAGGTAAAACTAGTATACACTTGCTTTAGCAAGAGTTTCTTGTGCATTAAATTAAGATCCTGCTGTTTAGAATTTAATGATGTTCTCTTCTTGCTGACTGATCTCATTGACTTATCCATAACAGAAGTTTGAGGTTAAACATGTAAGAATTAATGCTGAAATATTCTTTTATTTTGAACATGATCAGGTTTTGAAGGAGACGCTAGTTCGACATGGATTTACCTTTGAGTCTGAAACAGATACAGAAGTAATTCCAAAGCTTGCAAAATTTGTATTTGACAAGGCAAATGAGGGAGAAGGTAATTTTTATTTGAAAAAGCTTTATGTAGTGATTCCCTGCAATATTTTACTCTCTTGATTGACTCTTGACCATTGGAGGCAAGAGCGAAATATGTGATATTTAACATCAAGTTAGTGGCTTGGGTTCACATCTTGTATGGTCAAAGCAAGCTTTTGGGAATATGGCATTGTTCATCATAAATGTATTCATATAGACAGAATTGTGTGTATACGTTCCCTCATTTATTATCTTGTTTTGCCATTCATGTGTTTTTGTTGCAGGTGACCAGACTGTGACATTTAGCCAAGTTGTCATTGAAGTCATGAGGCATCTTGAAGGAGCATATGCGCTCATATTCAAAAGTCGGCATTATCCAAATGAGTTGATTGCTTGCAAACGTGGTAGTCCACTACTCTTAGGTGTTAAAGTAAGTTATTTTTGTATACTACTATTCTGCTTTGGCAAATATTGAGCCTCATTTAACTTGGATGCCTTAAATAAATCTTTTATGATAATAGTTAGTATTTTTTAGTTCTGTAACATTTTTGTAACCACAATTTGCTTGTCTGTGATAGTAATTTATATGATAAAATTAAGGTTAATTGATGTTGTTTTCAGAGTTGTGTACTTTCTTTGACATACTGAATTCCACATTATTTTTCACAATTTCCTTTACTTAAATGTAGATTGAAACCGGAAATGATATATGTGAATTTGCATCGTAGCTGACTTTTCCTGTTCTTGTAAATGTTATGGTTGTTTTGTTTTTGTATGCCAGGATATAGGCTTTATGGATATGAAACTTGATGTTTTGTTTTGCATGTACCATGTTCTTTTTTTTTTGCTTTTGAAATACTCTTTTGTAGATAGTATGAAGCAATGTGTTCAATTTATTATATATTTTGTTATACAACCCTATCAAAAGGTTATTAACACCATGTTATTTCTTATGTACTTAGAATCACTTTATTGTGGAGATGTTGGTTTTAAAAGCATGATATCTTTATAACAGGAATTAAATGAAGATAAAGGCACTGGTGCATCATTTCATGATGTCAAATTCCTCACAAATAGTGGCCAGCCCAAGGAACTCTTCTTTTCTAGTGATGCCCAAGCCCTTGTGGAGCACACAAAGAAAGTTCTGGTTATCGAAGATGGTGAAGTGGTACATCTTAAGGTAGTCCCTTTTCTTTGTATCAGATGCAAACTTGTTCTCTCTTTTGCTTTTCATGTTGATTTTGAGAATGTTAACATAGCAAATATGCATATAATAAACATATACAATAAATATTCTTTATTGTTGAAAAAAGTTGAATTGCCAAAAGAATGGAAACTTTTGAATGTATTCGTGATTATTTTGATTATATGTATTCATGATTGTTATTTTTTTTTATTTCAAGAAAAGGTAACACCTTTCATCTTGGAGCTATTAAACTAAAAAATGTATTAGAATTCTTGTTATTTGAAAACTTGACCAGCAATAACAGTGTCTTTTTGTGCAATTAATATAAAAAGGGGAATAGCTGGTTGTGAGAGATATAATCTTGCTCTCAATTGACAACTTCGCTCTTCCACGATACATTCTTTCTCTTCTTGTATTATTTTTTCTCATCACATCTTCATTAATTATCAGGTGTATGTATATATCTGTAACCGATCTTCTTGCACCAATTTTATTTGATGGAATCATTTACCTTATTTATATTATTTGAATCTAACTGGTAATGAACTTTTTTACACTTTATGTTTGCCCTGTTCTGAATTTTCTAACTAAGCTTTTATGTAAATATTTTCTAGATTTTTTATTTTTTTGTAGGGAACTATTAACAATAATACGAATAAGATTGCAAATGGTTTATCTGAAAATCAATTTGAAGGTTGATGACTTTATCTTTCTTTCTCTATTTTCAATAGAAGCTGAGGCAATAAAATTGTTTCTTAACTTCACAGAGGAGAGTTTGTTTTGTACATTTCTTATTTAATAATTTTTTAATTTTACTAAAAGAGATGAAAAGACTATATTTTAGTGTCGGTTATGCTTGATGAGATTCGACACATGATCTGTGTATTTTATCCTTAATTCTAAGGTTATAAACATCATGACATAGAAATTGCATGTGCCTTCTCATATGCTGTTAATGAGACCACACTGTATGAAAAATTTCTTCACCTAGCTTTCTACTTTATATTCATTTTCAGGCCATTTTATGAAATCAGGATGTACTCATTCTTGATGATCATAATTGCAGGATGGAGATGTAACTATCCTTAAGTTTGATAATGACAAGGGTAAAAGTAAAGGTGGTCATACTAGACCTGCATCAGTTCAACGCGCATTGTCTGTTCTTGAGATGGAAGTAGAACAAATAAATAAAGGAAAGTATGAGCATTACATGCAAAAGGAAATTCATGAACAACCAGAGTCTTTAACAACAACAATGAGGGGGCGCCTTATACGTGGAGGATCTTGCAAAGCTAAGAGTGTTCTTTTGGGTGGAATTAAGGATCACCTTAAAACAATTAGACGAAGCAGGAGGATTGTTTTTATAGGTTGTGGTACAAGCTATAATGCTGCCTTAGCTTCAAGACCCATTCTGGAAGAGCTTTGTGGTGAGATGTTTGAACCAAGATGTTTTTTTTTTTGTGTGTGTGATTCTCAATTTTGAGTTTATGATGTATTAACTTTTTCTTCTACAATTTTTTCTTTTTCTAAACTGAAGGTATCCCTGTTACAATGGAAATAGCAAGTGACTTGTTGGACAGGCTGGGTCCAATATATAGAGAAGATACAGTTGTATTTGTTAGTCAATCTGGCGAAACAGCAGATACTTTGCTTGCATTAGAGTATGCACTGGAAAATGGAGCATTATGTGTGGGCATAACAAATACTGTTGGCAGCGCAATAGCCAGGAATACACACTGTGGTGTTCACATCAATGCCGGCTGTGAGATAGGTGTGGCTAGTACCAAGGTAAAAAAAAATCTTTCTACATTGTTTGATTTGATTTTTATCCATTTTGGGTTTGTGGATATATAATGTGGTTGGCATCATAATTCAACAGGCATACACAAGTCAGATTGTAGTAATGGTTATGTTGGCTCTAGCAATTGGAGATGATACAATTTCCAATCAAACAAGAAGAGAATCTATAATAGATGGTCTATTTGAACTTCCAAGTATGTTTCTGCAAGCTTCTTCCATTTAAATTGCATACCCTCTGAAACTTTTCCTGTTTATATGCCATTAAGTTGGTTTGTGTTCTCATTTCTTTATGCAGGTAAAGTCCGAGAAGTTTTAAAACTTGACCAGGAAATGAAGGATCTAGCAAAAGAATTAATGTCTGAGCAGTCGCTTCTTGTGTTTGGAAGAGGTTACAACTATGCAACAGCTCTGGAGGGTGCTTTGAAGGTGAAAGAAGTTGCGCTGATGCACAGTGAAGGAATACTCGCTGGTGAAATGAAGCATGGTCCTCTAGCACTTGTGGATGAAAATCTTCCCATTGTTGTTATTGCTACCCATGATGCTTGCTTCAGGTTAGTTCTTCTTGAATCAGGTGAAGAAATATGCAATTGATATTTGTATTTTGTTTTTCTCTGATATTTGCATCTTTATTTTACTGCAGCAAGCAGCAGTCTGTTATCCAGCAGCTTCACGCACGCAAAGGTCGTCTGATAGTTATGTGTTCAAAGGGGGAGGCATCATTAGTTTGTCCTGGTGGATCATGCCGTGTGATTGAAGTTCCTCAGGTTGTGGATTGCATTCAGCCTGTAGTAAACATTGTCCCATTGCAGGTGAGTTGATGCAAAATTCTTTGTTACAAGCCACTAGCATGTGAATAATGATTTCATTCACGAGGGCAATGTTTTCTAACCTCGGTCCTAGTGTGTATGCCTTATTTTAGGATATTTTATTTAAGGTAATGGATTGGGATTTGGGATTACTTATATGGTTCAATTGATGCTCAACTTTTATGCTAAAGTATTTCATTGGGCTACAAGAATTTTACTTCCGAGTGAWATTGTAATTAGGTAGTTCTGAACATACCTGTTTTAAATTCTTTAGGAAGGGGTCAACTTGTACTCAATACTTGCAGTTGCTTAAATCTGGTTTGAATTCTTTCATTTGGAAACTTCTAGTAAATATACTAACATTTTTCAAGTTCATTAGGCTCTGTTCCTTGAGATTTCCAAGGATTATCTGGTCTGGATCCGTACCTTTTCATTGGAGAAAATAAATCTCAGTCAATTAATTTGGTAATAAGATTTAGAATGAGGACAGTAGTCGATCTAGACTACAATCAGTCTTGAATTAAAAAGAAAAAAGGATGAAAAATTGAAGAGAAGAAGAGAAGAGAAGAAGAAAAGAAGTACACGAAGAGAGTTTCAGAAAAGAGAGAGAGTAGGTCATAATTTCTGCCGACCCTCTCTTAGTATTTATATAACTATTGGCTAACTTTTAAAGGGCTGAATTGCCCTTATTGCTTACATGGCAAATAGAATAAGAAATA